TGTTTTTATTGGGGGGGTTTTGGGTGTAATGGGGAACTCTAATTTGAAAAGGGGGGACTCTAGGATAAGGGTCTGGTATAGATTTGGGGGGGTCACACATTGTTTTCTGCATTTCAGACTGGGGTGCTCCAAGAGTTTGCATACTTTAACACCCCATTCACACTGAGCGGTTTATCGCGTGATTTTCGCCGCGATATTGCGCATATTTCCGCGCGATATCGCTCTATGTAGCTTGTCCAATCCATTAAATGGAGCTGTTCACATCTCACAGCTCAATGTCGCCTGTAGCTCGTCGGTGTAGCTTGTCGCTCGTACCTGACCCTTTATTGCGCAGATGTCGCGCGATTCGGCTCCAATAGACTCCATGGTGTCGCGCAAAATCGCGCATTACCGGCGATATTGCGCGACTAGGTCGCATTTCCACTGCAAAATGGAAGGAAAGAATGATGTCACATCAAGATCGCTGTTGATTGGTAAGAACCCAATGTAGCAGCGACGAAGTCCCGCCCAAAAAACGTGCTACGTCGCGTGATAAAATGTGCAATGTCGCTCAATATCACGCAGAGTAGCTCAAAGCCGCTTAATGCGATATCGCGTGGAAAAACGCGCAATATCCATGTCGCTCATTGTGAATGGGGTGTTAAAGGGCGCTGTAACTGAAAAAAGATTGAGGCACACTGATCCCATCTGTTTCTTCTGTGTGTCTGGGCTAGTACACACCAGCCACAGTGCGTTCCGGCCCAAAATGCACTGCGGCCGGCTCACTTTGTGTTGGGGCGGGCGGAGACGTGGCAGTGCATTGATCTCAATGGCACAGCAGCCACGCCCTCCGGCCGCAGTGCGATCGGCGCATTCGAATGCGTGGCACATCAATGCTTACGTTCCCGTCTGGTCCAGAAAAATTATGCAAGCACTATTTTTTCTGACCGGACTGGACCAGAACGCAGGCATTGATGTGCCACGCGGTCCCATGTGGCCGATCACTGATCTAGATAATAGCACAGAGAAGTTGGAGCTGATTCCACCTGTTTGTGTCTGGGCTAATTCTCACACTAGTGGAGACAGAACGCACTGGATCGCATTGCGCTCGGCACACTTTGTGTTGGGGCGTTAGGGGGCGTGGTGGTGCATTAAATTAAATGGCAGCGCAGTCACGCCCTCCGGCCGCAGTGCGATTGGCTGCATGGGACCTGGTGAAACATCAATGCCTGCGTTCTGGTCCGGTCCGGTCATAAAAAATAGTGCTTGCATCATTTTTCTGGACTGGACCGGAACGTAGGCATTGATGTGCCTTGCGATCCCGTGCGGCCGACCGCATTGCAGCCGCAGGATAAGGTGCCATTCACTTCAATGAACCTCCTGCCCCACAAAAAAGAGAGCCGGCCGCAATGCGAGGCAGTGCATTCTGGCCAGAACGCACTGCATCTGGTGTGAACGAGGCCTCAAGGTGGATCATCTAAAACTACTCCAGGAGCGGCTTGTTCCACCCCCTCCCTGTCCAGCCCATTTTTCAGCCCTGTGATATTTGGACTGACAAATACTCCGTCATGCAACACTGCCCCAAATTCATTTTATATCATTTTTTAAGACAAATGGAACTTTCT